TTCGATGAGATTACTGAGGTGAGCATTAATTTAGAGATTGTTTGGATTGATACTAGAAATGTTTTTATTTGAATCTTGAGATTTCATAGATGATACCCATTTGGTGTTAGGGAATGAAAAATTGACGATCGATGGTTAGAAAAAATGAGATGATGAGAAATAGTAAGACTGTAATGTGGAGTACTAGAATTTCATTCGGGAAAAACTTAAGGGTTGAGGTGGGAGGGGAATATATGTAGTTTTATTTTTTTATTTTATAAATAAATTTTAAAATACAAAGTGAATCTATATAATTTTATGTATAAAATTGGTAACAAATTTTTGGAATGGCCTTTTAAATTTTGTTATTTTATTAATGATCTAGATTTATATATTGAATTTAAAAAATAAGAGGTGTTGTATGTTGATCCGAATGTATATATTTTTCTGAAATCGTATAGTACATTTAATAATATTTTAAATATAAAAAATATATATTAACAGTTTATTAATGGTTTGAATAGATATTTCTCTGAAAATAGATGGTTCAGTGTTGTCAAGTTCGCACTCGAAGCTGAGTGATAAGTTGTAAAGACAGGATGAGTAGTGTGATTTTTGTCGAGCTTCCAATATGTAGGTATCTAAGATCCCTATATAACTGAATTTATGGCTTTATGAGAGGCAATCCAATAGTAAGGGGGCTGCAAGAGCAGTCATTGATAAGGTACGAGGTCAGGAGATACGTGATGGTAGAGGTGGAGTCATTGAATTCATAAGCAGATAAAACAACCGAGCAACCAATTTGGTGACTAAACAGGCGATTTCTTTGTGTTCACTGCAAGCGTTAGTGGTTTTGATTTTCGACGTTGACTTATTTTTTAGTTGTAAACTATGGTATCTTCATAGTTCTTGGTAATGAGAAACCTTTGAGAAAAAGAACTCAAAGTCCATCTGCTGCAAACTTTAGGTTTCCCTAAGTAATGTTATATTACACTAGTTTGGGTGCCGACATACTTGAGGGGAAGAAGAAAAGTAGCTTGCAACCAGTCGTCAGTCGTCTTTCTCTGAGTGGTCGAGCATGCTTGCATCTTTATCACGACGACTGGCCACAACCACAACATTCTGCCGAAACTTCCAAGCTTTAATTTGATACCAATGATTATGCTGGGAAGCAGTTACGTACGGGCATGGTTGTCACGCCGGCCGGCGTACCACCGGTTGTACCTGGTTCAACCGGTACCGGTCATAAAACCGGTATGACACCACCGGTATGACCGGCATGATCGATATACGAATCTCTAAGTAAAATGATTTTATTTTAGTGAATTTAATTGATAAAAGTTATTTTATTATTTATTTTATGAGTATAAAAGTTAAATATTGATGTTATTTGTTGGATTCAGGTATAAATGTTTAAGTATTGACGTTAAATGTCATGTTTAAATATGAGTATTTATAATTTTATTTGTAATATTGACCGGCATGAACCGGCACAAACCGGTATGTGCCACCGGTTGAACCATTCCACTAGCTAAACCGGCACACTGGCATAAACCGGTTTGACAACCTTGCGTACGGGTCAGCTAACGCATTGATTGCGTAGTGGCCAGAACAGAACAGAACAGAAAAGAGTACTAGTGGCTCAAATTGTATCCCGCGCTGACTGCTACATCAGGTTAACTATTGCTGGTCAATTCGCCATTCCCAACAACAACACGGCCACGTGAATGTGATACGTCGATCATTGATCACTAAAATTCTGGCTGAGCTCGCAGTCCCACCCACATGAATGTCTCTGATAACATTTTCTAAAGGACATTCTGTCTTATGTAAGGCTCAAACAAACGGTGTCTTCATGGGCGGAGCTGGACCAAAATATATAGTTGTGTCGTGAGACACAATTAGTTTGTACTAAATATATAATGGATTATTGGTATATAGTAATCCTTTAATACACATTTTTATATCATATCCGCTTTTTTACTTTGAAAAATAATTGAAAAAAATAAAATGGTTTATAGGTATCATGAGAATATACTCTATTGTTACAACTTACAATTTCAATCCAAAAATCACAGTCAAACTATAATTCGGAGGACCTAACCTGGAAAAAGGTATTTTTTGAATAAATACAATTTACTATCAAACCCTTTTAAATATCTATATTTTTGGATTGAATCCAAACCTTTAAAAAATTAAATTAACAAAAGGATGTGGCAGCTGATGTACAATGTCATTAATGATACCATTAACGTTAACAAATCAACAAATTCAGGGTCATATCTAAAGGATGAGTTTAAAAGTATTTTTATTTTCCATATTTCAGAGAAAAAAATTATGTACCACTAATTACTATCCTTGTACCATTTTGTAAAACCTTCATTTCATTTTTAAATCAATTTTTTGGACGGAAGAAACGGTTTCATCGTGACTCTTGTGATCTACAAGTTTATGGGGAAAATCTCAGGATCGAATATGTCACTGTATACCAACCTGATATAGGGTGGTAACAGGTGATAGACGGTGATTAAAGATGATAATTGACGATTGGTATATTCCTACTATTACATAATAGGTATACAACCATTCTGCACTATGCTATATTCGTAGCAGCATGGTACACTTGGATATACCATTATGGTGTAATCTTATAAACTACCAAGCATTACCAACAAGGTATGGAATGATAATATATGTGTCAATTTTTTTGTTCGATGATTTTTATTTTGAATAACACAATTAATCTTATTTTTTTGTGCAAATTTTTTTTGAATTACAAGTTGCAATGAAAGAGATGTAACATGTTAAAATTAATTGGCGGAAAAGTTTTATGTCTTCGGAGTGTTAATGGGATTAGTTATGGTTATGAAGAAAAAAAATGTTAACATATTTCAAAAGATAAAATATTCGGATTAATATTAATAATATTTATCCTCATCGCATACAATCTAAACCATTTCCATTATTACAAGCCGCCCAATAAATGATTCACACAGTAACGAGAATGCATTATTGCGGGGCATATAAAAATCTTGCTCCTTCCAAAAAATATTTATTCAACTAATCGACCGCTCATTGAGGGCGGTAGTCAGTCTCAAGTCTCAACTGTCAATGCACCACCCAGATCCAGAACTTCTTGCTGCAAATTAACTTGGCCCCATTGCCCAGCTGCCCACACATTATTTTTGGGCACATTTTCAACGTAACGAATTCCACCAACCTTGTTTTAATTTCTACCTCCCAAAGTGACACCAAGTTCCTGGCTAAAACTAGCCCAGAATCCCTAGCAAGGATTCTTCGAAACTGCAGTGTTGCAATCAGTAAAGCCAACCAAGGGTGTAGCATGCTGCATAATTGTGCGGACCAGTGCCCTAGTGCATTCAACATATCGTTTTCCCACAGTATCATAGGATACACTTATAAGTAAAGAGTGGCGAGAGCTGTACTGTTAAGAAAGAAATTTGTCACTGTAGTAGTGGGCAAAGAAGTAGCAGTCCGCCACACACTAAATTATGTACCTTCCATTTGGTGCTAAGGTAACGGATATGGCTGACGCGAGCACTTAGCACTTATGACGACACGATGACTATAGCAGAATCATGAAAATTATAACTTATTACAAGAACAATAAATAAGATAAATCAGCAAACGATGAGTGGTGATGAGAATTATACATTCATGAGGAATGAAGACAATCAAGCGCCTAGGGACTTGGAACGAAACTATTGTTGAGATGACAAATGATGTATGCAATGCGGGGGGGTTTCGGTCTGTGGAAAAACAAGTTATCAGAACGTCAGATTTGGAGGGAGTAGAACTATACTATCTGAAAATAGTACTGTTAATACTGCGCTGGTATGGATTGGGAAATCGACGGAATTGAGAAAACGAGAATACGAAAAACAGAAAGCACACGACACACGATTAACGTGGTTTACTAACACAATGTGTGTTAGCTATTCCACGGGCAGGAGAGCCAGATTCACTATATCGAGTAAGATTCCAGATTACAGAGGAGATGCTCCATGTGGGTCTAAACCTAATCCAATATGGTAAAATAAACGGTTACAGACCAGGCCCAGACCCCCGACTATTCCAGTTGTAGCGGCTGATAGTCCGATTCAAGTCACATCAACAAATACAAGAAATAGTTTCCCAAGTGTGCAAGGTTGCAGTTGATTATATAGTTGATTATATATGATATAGGCACTAGGCTCATATACCATGAATATGAATGTTCAACGTAAAATTCAAAATTAATGTTAGGTGAAGCTAAAACCAAAGGGGAAAAAGACGCAATTTACAAGTCAAAAGTAAAAAAAAAATGGCGTTATATGACCTCCAATCCAAAAATCTTATTGTGGGTTGACCCACAGATGTGTGGCGTCGGTTTTCCTTGCTATAACTGGATCATTCCAGACCAACTCGCAGGAAGACAACTTTAGAAATAATAGTGTGCTGCATTGAGGTGGGAGTGGAGTAAGCCGAATCCCCAGCGATGATTCCCCATAAGTGCAGTGATGGTGCAAAAACATCACAAATCCAATTTTATTCGGATAGCAAGCATGCATGATGCATTATTGTGTATGTGTGGTCTCTCATTTTCCCACAGTATACGTAAAGAGTGGCGAGAGCTGTACTATTAAAGAAGAATTTTGTCCCCAGTGGGCAAAGAATTAGTCAACCACAAACTAAATTAGATTGTGTACCTCATGCTAATGTTTGATGTTTCATAGTATTGGTCTTTTATTTATTTTTTTTTTCTAAAATAAAAACTTTTATGATAAAAACTAAACTTATAGGTATGGTATAAATTCAGTTTGTACCTATACATTTGTATCAGAAAATCATTTATGGTGCAAATTGATTTTTTTTAAAATTTATGTCATGGTACAAACCGACTTTTATCGTGCGCAAGTAACAAACTGAATTTGTACTTTTATCATGTTATGGTACAAACAAAACTTACATCATAATATAAAGATACCAATTTCATCGAGGTAAAAGTAAAATTTGTATTTTTAATATTATGATACTATTCGAATCTTGAAACACCAATACTTTTAGATCGTGGTATAAGTGCCAGCTCAAGAGGTCTGACATTAGCATTTACATTTAGTACTTATGATGAAACGATGACTATAGCAGAATCACGAGAATTACTAGAACAAGGAACAGAAATGATTCGTGGTGATGAGAATTAGTATACAATCAGGAAGAAAGACAGAGACAAATCAAGGGCAAGAAATAGTTTCCCCCAAGTGGCAACTGACCTCTGAATCTGATTATTGAGTCCGGACCACCCACTATATATATAGTTCATGAGGTCGGAGCAGATAGCAGCAGACACCATTTTCCATCCACCCAATCCCCAATTTAAGCACACACGAACTGGAACTTCTTGTTCATCCAAATAACAGAAGAACGCAATGGGGTCCAACGAGGCGGCGCAGCCCAAGAAGCCCCATGCAGTCTGCATCCCATTCCCAGCTCAGAGCCACATCAAGGCCACCCTCAAGCTCGCCAAGCTCCTCCACCACCGCGGCTTCCACATCACCTACGTCAACACCGACTTCAACCACACCCGTTTCCTCCAAACCAGAGGCCCCCACGCCCTCGACGGCCTCCCGGACTTCCGATTCACCACCATCCCCGACGGCCTCCCTCCCTCCACCCCCGGCGCCACCCAGGACATTCCCGCGCTCTGCCACTCCATCCGCACCTTCATGTCCGCTCCCTTCACGGACCTCCTCGCCAAGCTCTCCGCCGGAAACCCTCCGGTCACCTGCGTCATTGCCGACCTCATGCCCTTCGCCGTCGATGTCGCTCGAGACCTGGGCATCCCGTCGTTGAGCTTCTGGAGCTTCGCTGCCTGTGCGTTCATGGGGTTTCACCAATTCCGGCCTCTATTCGAAAAGGGCATCACCCCTTTCAAAGGTAAATTATAATTAATTAACTTAGTAGCAGAGAGAAAACTCTGTTTTCGAAATACCCTGATTTCAATTTTTTTTTTACCCCGGGCAGACGACAGCTACTTGACCAACGGGTACCTGGAGACGGCAATCGAAGTGCCGGGGATGAAGAACGTCCGGCTCAGGGACCTGCCGAGCTTCTTCCAGACGACGGATCCCGAAGAGCCGGTTTTCCACTGCCTGATGGAATGGGCCGAAGCAGCCGGCAGGGCATCCGCCATTCTGCTTCACACATACGACGCCCTCGAACCGGACGTCCTGGCCGCGCTCAACTCCACCTACCCGAACCGGGTCTACGCGGTCGGACCGATCCAGCTCCTCCTCGACCAGATCTCGACCCACCCGACCCTCGACGCCTTCACCTACAGCCTGTGGAAGGAAGAGCCAGAGTGCCTCCGCTGGCTCGACACCCAGCCGCCCAATTCCGTCATCTACGTCAATTTCGGCAGCATCACCACCATGTCACCACACCACCTGATCGAATTCGCCATGGGTTTCGTGAACAGCGAGGTGCCCTTCCTCTGGGTCATCCGGCCCGACCTTGTCACCGGGGAGTCGTCGGCGCTTCCGAAGGAGTTCCAGGAGAAGGCGGAGAGGGTCGGGTTTATTTCCGGCTGGTGCCCGCAGGAGGAAGTTCTCAACCATCCGGCGGTCGGAGGGTTTCTGACGCATTGCGGGTGGGGATCGATTATTGAGAGCTTGACGGCGGGAGTTCCGGTGCTCTGCTGGACCTTCTTCGGGGACCAGCCGATGAACTGCAGGTTTGCGTGCACGGAGTGGGGGGTCGGGATGGAGATCGACAAGGACGTGAAGAGGGCGGCGGTGGAGGAGCTGGTTAGGGAGCTGATGAATGGAGAAGAGGGGGAGAAGATGAGGAAGAAGGCCGGGGATTGGGGGAAGCTGGCTCGAGAAGCTACTGGGCCTGGTGGATCGTCGATAGTCAATCTGGACCGTTTGGTTAATGAGGTCCTTTTGCCCAAATAAAGGATTGGGCTTCCTGGTTTGAGGTTTGGGCTGTTCTTGATATTCGAATACTATACCGCAAAAATAAAGACATAATAAGAAAATAACGACTGTAAACTACTACTACCCAATTGTTGCGGAGAAGGTGCTAATTAATTAGCTGGTCCTAGCTCCTGCTACTACATGGATTCTGCCATAAGGTTAGGATTCATGTAGAAAAATAATGTATTCCACAATTTCCCTTTGCATATTATTACCTGGTAGTTGTTAATGATTTTTTTGCATGATATCTACTCACTTTCGTTTGTGTTTAATATCATGTGTACTACGGATTCATCCCCTACATCTTATGTACATTTCCCAACCAATTGGAACTTTTATGGAATAGGTTGGAGGTTGGGAATGCATTGTCATGAGTTGTACAAGGCTTTAGTTAGTAGACTCTCTTCAAAGGGAACTAAGGGTTCGTTTGGAAGTTGTGGTTCTTTAAATCGATGAATTCTATTAATGTGTGCATTTTTTCTAAATTGATGTTTTTGTTTGAATGGTTGTATTTGAAAAATCCCTTGTTTGTATGTATAGATTGCGCTTTTCACATATTTAAAAAGGTAATATACTTTCTGATTTATGGACATATTTGCCCTTCATTAACTCATTTTTCCAAGGAGAGAGAGAGCAATGGATGAGGCTAATGTTGGAATAAACAAAAAAAAAATAGAAGGGATAAAAGTGAAATAAAAGATAAACATACTGGCTTCGCTATGTGGCGTCGAATCTGGTGGATGGGGAGCTTGTTATTCCTAGGGAGGTTCACGATGAGGGAGCAGTCAGATGGCGCAATGTTTTGGTGGGTCAGTTTCTCACGGCGGGGCCTCCGATTGCTGTGATTCGTCGATGGGCTCAGCGTTTCTGGGGAAGAGATGGTAGGGTTTTTGTTTCAGTGTTTGGTACCAATATGTTCCTGTTTCAATTTGAGAGTGAAGAGTCGAGTAGGTGGGTGTTTGAGAATGGCCCTTGGCACTGTGAGAACATTCCCTTGTTTCTCCACAAATGGGTTCCAGGGATTCAATAAGTTAAGATGGACTGTACTAGGTTTCCGATTTGGGTGCGTATTCGAGAGTTGCCGCTGGAGTACATGACAGTGGAGGGATTGAGTAGGGTTGCGCGCTTGCTGGGTACACCGTTGTGGATGGACCAGCCAATTTTTCCCAAGCACTGTGTACTACTTTGGTTGATAATATTGGAAAGAGTTAGAACAAAGAAAAAGCTGGAAAGTTGGGGACTGCATTATGATGTTGATTGTGTGTTCTGCCCTGGTGGGATAGAGACTCATGATCATTTGTTTAATGATTGCTCTTTTAGTATGGCTATGTTGAAGGAGCTTCTGCAGGGTGAGTGTCATTTCCCTGATTTTGCAGATTGGGCGGCTCAGCTTAAATGGGCAGAGACTGCCTGGAGTCTCTCTACTGATGCAACAACAGTTGGGAGAGTCCTGTGGATCATGGGTATAAGCACGCTTTGGAAGGAGCGCTGTGCTAGAGTGCATGGAGAAACGGTGGCAATTTCCCCAGTTCAGGTAGTGAAGAAGGTGAAGAAGGAATTCTCAATATTTGCCAGCAGCCAGACCACGTTCCAGTTGAAGGTTTCTTGGGGCTATATAGAGTGATAGTTTTATGAATGATCTCTGGTTTAGTTTATACATTGTAGCATAACAAGTACAATTTTGAGAGGGAGGATGCGAGTTGCACCTCTCCGAGCTTCAATGCAATTTTGATTAACGATAAAAAAAAGATAGACATACATCATTCATTTACAATCTCAACTTTAGCTAGAGATTGTCAATTCTTCATTTTGAGGGATTAGAAGTGGGCCCTTAAAAAGTAAATACATGTATTGTAACTCTACTTAAACCAAAAAAATGATTAAATCTTCACATTACATGAATTGGCTAAATACACAACTTCAAATCACAACCTCCAAACAAGCCCTAAGAAGACAAGACGAATATCGCCCAACACACTTCCTTTCTCATTTTTGTATGTCCACGGCTCTTGTAGTTCAGTTGTACACTGTATATTTCAGTTTCAGAGTATTGAATAAAATCACTGTTACTTCCTTTCCTCTACTTCTCATTACTATTTTATTGCTCATTCCATATTTGGAGTAATTATCTAATTATCACACATTATTAGCACGGTTGTTTTGTCTACTCAAGATCAATTTTGCCATTCAGAGGTAACTAATGAAATAGAATTTTTTCACACGAATGCTTTGTCTGCACGGTATAGTGCTAATAAATAAATATCGAACTAAAAATCTTCAACATCAAATATGATATGGGATGAAGTCGTTTTAATTTTTCATAATGTTAACAAACTATATTGTGTTTTAACCGATAACTACTGAACTTCCATTCTGTGAGGTACCGGCTGGCCAATGAACAATATAAGTTTTGTTTATAGATTAAAATTATTTTAGATTTTTTGTTGTTGTGAAAGATGAATGATTTTTTGTAACATCCCAAAAACAATTTCGACAATATATCATCTGCTTTAGGTCTAGAATATCACGAAATTTTTCTTGGAGTGCATACTTCTTGGAGTGAATATCACAGGAATTTTGATTGTAGGTTTTGTATAGTACTGGCTGGCCAATGAACAGTAAAAATTTTTGTTTATTGATGAATGCTTTTCATTGGCCCTGCGTAAAGATCCGTTTAAGCAAAGTACACATAGAAATTGGTGTTCACATAGAGTGATGGACTAGGTGTTCACGTGAAGTTCGTGATCACCAAGAATCATATTTTTAGCTAATGAATCATTGACACCTACAGATCCAACCAAAAAATCAAACAAATTAAAAAAATGAGCTCCGGCAAATCGGCATCCATGAAAATGGGACATATAACATATTCAACGATGGGTTTACCAATATATAAATTATCGACCGACAACGATGCCCATTAACCACACTCCAAAATCCAGTACTGCCATGAAAATACAACTCACTGCAATCAGCCAATTCATACGATCCAACGTACACATTATAACTTAAAAAAATCCGATTAAAAAAAAAGAAGGTAATTTTCTACTGCCCAATTCTCCACCATATAAAACCCCAGTCATGAAAATGGCTGGCTAACAAATTCACCATCAATCAATCAAACCCAAGTTCCCAGTCTTGAAGAAAGAAATCCAATGGGCTCGAACGAGGCTGAACAACTCCGACCCGCGTCTAGGCCACACGCGGTCTGCATCGCGTGCCCGGCCCAAAGCCACATCAAGGCCACCCTCAAGCTGGCCAAGCTGCTCCACGCCAGGGGCTTCTACATCACCTTCGTCAACAGCGAGTTCAACCACAGGCGCTTCCTCAACACCAAAGGCCCACGCGCCCTCGACGGCCTGCCGGACTTCCGGTTCGCCGCCATCCTCGACGGGATCCCGCCGTCCGATCTCGGGTCCACGCAGGACGTCCCCATGCTGCTGAACTCCATCCTCACCTTCATGAAGGCTCCCTTCAGGGAGCTGGTGGCGAGGCTGAACGATCCGGAGCTGTCGGGTGGCGGGCCGCGCGTGAGCTGCGTGATTGCGGATACGATGCCGTTTGCGATCGATGTGGCTCGGGAGTTTGGCGTCCCATCCGTCAGCTATTGGAGCTTCTCTGCGTGCGGGTTCATGGGGTTTAGGATGTTCCGCCCTCTCTTGGAACAGGGCATCACTCCTTTCAAAGGTAAAATAAAAACACAATTCTCTAGTAGTATAGATAGTTAATTCATTGAAATGAAGAAAGAACAAAATTTTATTACTTAACTTAAATTCTTAGCTCTGTAAGATTTATATTTGAAAATTAAAGATATTATGTTAAGGTTTGAGGTACAGTGGCAAAACGTACGTATGGTTATATAGTACTTTATAATCGAATTTTATTCGTTGATTTGAAAAAGAAAAAAAAAATCTAGATCTAGTCTATGTTATAAAGGGCAATTCAAAAAATTTGGAGATGCAACTAACACAATTTTTGGGGTTGTGAGTGAGCTACCGCTGAATTTCAGGTGTTAATCAAGAAGTTTTTTAATCGCTCATGAATTTTCAATAGGCCATATGTATATCATTTGTTTAACTCAAATTTCAAAACAATTATATAGAAAATTGTTTTTTTGTACTTTGTAAGATGAAATCTATTTAAATATTTTTTGGAGCACAAAATTTTTTACACGATTATCGTATTATGTGATATTATCACAGTGATTGTAATATTGTATAGTCTTATCACAGTAATGAAATTCTAATATGAACAGTGGTAACATGATATTATTGATCCAACACTATAATACATAGTATGATGTGAATATGACAATGGTGAATATTTTTATAATACATAGTATGATGTGAATATGACAATGGTGAATATTTTTATAATACTGTAAATTTACAAAATGATATTCAGTTTGATATTTTGTTGAGCGAAAAATTGTTAAGCCATCTTACCACAATCATTTAATATATTACATATAACAATATATAAGATCATGATATGATGATGCTATGTAAATGGAATTATTAAAATGACAATTATGAAACTTAGTGTATAACATGCCCCTCAAAATGGAAAAAATGTATTAAACAACTTGTAAGATGCTCTGACTTAGCTTCTTCGTTAATGCTATATATATACACACGTACAGACGACAGCTATTTGACGAATGGATACCTGGACAAGCCCGTCCAAGTTCCGGGAATGAAGAACATGCAGTTCCGAGACCTGCCGAGCTTCTTCCAGACGACGGACCCGACCGACCCGCCTTTCCACTGCCTGATGGAATGCGCCGACGCCGCCGCCAGAGCCTCCGCCATCGTCGTCCACTCCTTCGACGCCCTCGAACCAAACCTCATCGCCACCCTCAACTCCACCTACTCCGGCCGCGTCTACCCGATCGCCCCCATGCAGCTCCTCGTCGACCAGATCGAGTCGAAGTCAACCCTCGACACCATCAGCTACAGCCTGTGGAAGGAAGAGCCACAATGCCTCCGCTGGCTCGACTCCAAACCGGCCAACTCCGTCGTCTACGTCAACTTCGGGAGCATCACCACCATGTCCAAGGAGCACCTGACCGAATTCGCGATGGGGTTGGTCAGCAGCGAGGTCTCGTTCCTCTGGGTCATCCGGCCCGACCTGGTTGTGGGCGAGTCGGCGGTTCTTCCGCCCGAGTTCGAGGAGAGGGCGGCCCGGACCGGTTTCATATCGGGTTGGTGCCCGCAGGAGGAGGTGCTGAACCACCCGGCGGTCGGAGGGTTTCTGACGCACTGTGGTTGGGGATCGATGATGGAGAGCCTGACGGCGGGAGTTCCGGTGCTGTGCTGGCCGTTCTTTGGGGACCAACCGACAAACTGCAAGTATGCGTGTAGCGAGTGGGGGGTTGGGGTGGAGATCGAGAAGGATGTGAAGAGGGCGGCGGTTGAGGAGGTGGTTAAGGAGCTGATGATGAATGGTGGGGAAGGGGAGAAAATGAGGAAGAAAGCAGGGGAGTGGAGGAAATTGGCTCGTGAAGCTGCCGGGCCGGGCGGGTCGTCGGTCGTGAATTTGGACCGCTTGGTCAACGATGTTCTCTTGGGCAAAGGGGTTTAGGGTTCTGTCTGCTTAGTCTGGGTGTGGGTCGGGCCTTGGAAAATTTAGACACTAATGAAATAGAAAGAAAGAAGGATATTTTTCTTCATAAGTTGGGTTTTGATCTAGTATGGATTTGGTGGGTTAAAGAATGTATTACTACTACGGCCACCTTCTCCGTTAAGGTCAACGCTCTCCTTCACATTATTTTGCTTCCTTTCGTGGCCTCCGTCAGGGAGATCCTCTTTCTCCTCTTCTTTTTGCGCTTTGTACCGAAGGTTTTATAGCTTTGATTAAACAGGCTATCCGGGATCATGATCTCCATGGAATTCGAATAAATGTTCGTTATCTGATGGTGTCTCATCTCCTTTTCGCGGACGATTCATTTCTTTTCCTCCGTGCATCGTTCAGGGACGGGCGGAAGTTACTGGATCTCTTGCTCGATTATGAGAGTATTAGTGGCCAACGAGTTCATTTGCAGAAATCAGCTTTATATATCAGCTCGAACATGATTCAGTCGGATCAGAAAGCTCTTGGTGTTTCCTAAATGTTGTTGTGGTTGGTCTTCGGGATCATTATTTGGGCCTCTCTTCCTTGTTTGGGCAATATAAGATAGAAACATTTAGGTTTGTAGAAGAGAAGTTGATTTCTGTTTTACAAGGCTGGAAGCAAAGAGCTCTTTCTGCATACATTCCTTAAGTCTCACTCCATCATAGGGCAAAAGGATATCTCTCCAACACAACTCGGAGTAATGAATCCCATCTTGGTCTATGCAAGGCTTACTACATAATGAGTTACACACCCAATAACCGCTCTGTCTCACCCTATTAAGGATGTGATTAGATGAGGTACCAAGTTACGCAAGCCACCATATAATAGTCTTCATAACCTAATGTCAAAGAACAAGATTTTTGATGATTACCTGAGACACACTTATGACACAATTGTATAATCCGTGAAAGTGTTCTCCGGTTGGGTCTATCCAGAATACAAGTTCTCTAACTCGGAACTCACACGTGCATTCCTTAACTCTGTAAGCATCTACTTCGGTGCACTCACTTTTTTGGGTGCATTCAGTGCACCCACCTCTAAAAGTGGTCATAATACATCAAATTTTGAAATTTAATGGATAACATTATATTAGTCTCATATGATGATATAACACAAAATCACAACTAATCAGCCATTACCCTAACCTATTAAAATTCAATTTTGAATCTAAACCCAAAATCCCAAATTGTAAACCCTAACCCTGAATCATTCAAATTAAAGTGAATCTTGAATAATTTTGGTACAAATTCATGTGGTTCTTGTTCATCATACTACAAGGGATGATTGACATCGTTTTCACATGAACCGCCTGCTCAGAATGACGATTATGAGGCGGGTGCATTGAATGCACCCAAAAAAGTGAGTACACCGAGGACATAATCATATATATATATATATGGTTATACGGTACCCAGGGTGAAATCCGGGGTACCGCATACCTTGAGCAAGAAAACGCTATCCAGAATTGAATTGACTGATCTTTCTGACATGATACTATACTTTAACCCTTAAAGATCAAAATCTAGGTCTTAATTCTCTAAATCTTGTACCCCAAGATCAATTTAATTAGAAATAATAATCGACGGTTATGATTCGTCCAAATATAGGCAAAAAAATTAATGTACCATCTTAGGGTTTATAGTTTATGATTTAGATGATTATGACCTAGGGTTCACTCATTATGGGTTATGGTATAGTATCATGCCGAAAAATTCTGCTAATTCGAGGTCTAGATAGTGTTTTCATACTTAAGGTATGCGGTACCCCGGATTTCACCCGGGGTACCATTGAAGGCACCATATATATATATATATATATATATATATATATATGGGTGATTCTATCGTACCTTGGGTAAAATCAAGGGTACAACATACCTTGAGTAAAAAAATGATATCTAGACCTCGAATTGAGCATAGTTTGGCGTCTGATATTATTCCCAAACCCTTAAGGATTAAAATCTTGGTCTTAGTTTTATAAATCTCATACACTAAGATCAATTTAATTAGAAACAAAAATCAACGGCTATGATTTGTCGAAATATATGCAACAAATTACAGGCACAATCTTAGGGATTAGGCTCTTTGATTTAGAAATCTAAGACCTAGGTTTCAATCATCAAGGGTTAGAGTATAGTATCATGTCCAAAAATTCGGTTAATTCTAGGTCTAGATAGCATTTTTTTACTCATGGTATGTCGTACCCTAGATTTTACCCAAGGTACGATAGAAGCCACCATATATATATATATATATGGCGAGTTCTATGGTACCCTGGGTAAAATTCGGGGTACCGCATACCTTGAGTATGAAAACACTATCTAGACCTTGAATTGACCGATCTTTCGGACATGATACTATAATCTAACCCTTAAAGATCAAAATCTAGGTCTTAATTCACCCAATCTTGTACTCCAAGACCAATTTAATTAGAAACAATAATCGACGGTTATGATTCGTCCAAATATAGACACAAAAGGGAATGCACCATCTTAGGGTTTATAGATTATGATTTAGATAATTAGGACCTAGGGTTCACTCATTAAGGGTTGGGGTATAGTATCATACCCAAAAATCCTGCTAATTCGAAGTCTAGATACCGTTTCCATACTCAAGGTATGCGGTACCCCGGATTTCACCCGGGGTACCGTAGAATGCACCTATATATGGATATATATATATATATATATATATATATATATGGTTATGTCTTCGGTGCACTCACTTTTTTGGGTGCATTCAATGCACCCGCCTCATAATCGTCATTCTGAGCAGGCGATTCATGAGAAAACGATGTCAATCATCAATTGTGGTATGATGAACAAGAACCACATGAATTTGTACAAAAATCATTCAAGATTCACTTTAATTTGAATGATTCAGGGTTTAGGAATTTAGGGTTAGGGTTAGGGTTTACAATTTGGGATTTTGGGTTGAGATTCAAAATTGAAGGTTAATAGGTTAGGGTAATGGGTTGATTAGTTGGGATTCTATGTTATATCATCATATTAGACTAATACAACCCATTAAATTTCAAAAATTTTAGTATTATGACCACTTTTAGAGGTGGGTGCACTGAATGCACCCAAAAAAGTGAGTGCGCCGAAGTAGCCACCATATATATATATATATATATATGGTGCCTTCTATGGTACCCCGGGTGAAATATGGGGTACCATATACCTTGAGTATGAAAACTCTATCTAGACCTCGAATTAACAGGAATTTTGGACCTGATACTATACCCTAACTCTTAATGAGTGAACCCTAGGTCCTAGTTATCTAAATCATAAACTATAAACCCTAAGATGGTGCATTCATTTTTTTTTGCCTATATTTGGGCGAATCATAACCGTCCATAATTGTTTCTAATTAAATTGATCTTGGGGTATAAGATTTAGAGAATTAAGGCCTAGATTGTGATCTTTAAGGGTTAGAGTATACTATCATGTCCGAAAATTCAATCAATTCGCGGTCTAGATAGCGTTTTCATACTCAAGGTATGTGGTACCCTAGATTTCACCCTGGGTACCGTAGAACTCCCCATATATATATATATATATATATATATATATATATATATATGCACTTACTTTTTTGGGTGCATTCAGTGCACCCACCTCTAAAAGTGGTCTTAATACATCAGATTTTGAAATTTAATGGGTAGCATTAGTCTCATAGGATGATATAACACAGAATCACAAGTAATCAACCCATTACCCTAACCTATTAACATTCAATTTTGAATATAAACCCAAAATCCCAAATTGTAAACCCTAACCCTAACCCTAAATTCCTAAACCCTGAATCATTCAAATTAAAGTGAATCTTGAATGACTTTTGTAAAAATTCATGTGGTTCTTGTTCATCATATTACAAGGGATGATTGTCATCATTTTCACATGAATCGCATGCTTAGAATGACGATTATGAGGCGGGTGCATTGAATGCACCCAAAAAAGTGAGTGCACCGAAGACATAAATATATATATATATATGGCAAAGGCTAGCGTACGTTCGGGCGTACGCTAGTCTACCGTACGCCCCATTGAGTTTTGCTATTTAGACAAAGAATTAATCGGAGTTTGGGACATGATACTATACCCTAACCCCTAATGGGTGAATTCCAGTCCCCAATTCACTAACCCAAAGCATGAGATTCGTTTAATCTTAAAAATGAAAATCAACGATTCTGATTCGTCGAAATTTTCATTGGTTTTCATTTTAAGATTAAATGAACATCATGGTTTGGGTTAGAAAATTAGGGACTGGGGTTCACCCATTAGAGGTTAGGGTATAGTATCATGCCCCAAACTCCAATTAGCGTACGACCGGGTGTACACTAGCCTGAACCATATATATATATGGTGATGACTGGTGTACGTCAGGCGTATACTATATGCCAGGTGATCTAGCCGTTAGATGTACTTAGATGAGCTCCGGCCGATCTTAACGGTCAATTTTTGTTTTTCATTAAATCAAACTTCGTGTTGGGGTTTAGAAAATCGGTGCCTGGGGTTTATCCATTAGAGGTTAGGGTATAGTATCACACCCCAAACTCGATTTAATTCATGGTCTAGATAGAGATATCTCACTAGTAGTACCTGACGTATAGTATACGTCTGACGTACGCCAGTTCTATGGTACCCAGGGTGAAATCCGAGGTATCGCATACCTTGAGTAAGAAAACAATATCTAGAACTTGAATTGATTGATCTTTCGAACATGATACTATACTCTAACCCTTAAAGATCAAAATCTAGGTCTTAATTCTCTGAATCTTATACCCAATATCAATTTAATTAGAAACAATAATTGACGGTTATGATTCATCCAAATATAGGCAAAAAAATCAATGCACTATCTTAGGGTTTATAGTTTATGATTTAGATAATTAGGACTTAGGGTGCACTCATTAAGGGTTAGGGTATAATATCATGCCCAAAAATTCTGCTAATTCGAGGTCTAGATAGCGTTTTCATACTTAAGGTATGCGGTACCCCGGATTTCACCCGGGGTACCGTAGAAGGCACCATATATATATATATATACACAAGATACAAAACTATAACACAACTGATTGAACCACATACCCAAATATATAATTGGCTTTTGGACACCATACTAACAAGTTTGACGTAAGCTAAACGAGGAAAAAAGTATCGGTTGAACGACCGATTAAACTCAACCAAAAGGTTGGTTGAAAGGTGATAAAAAAATTAGAAATTTAACAACACAAACAGAAGATTTAGATTGGTAGCAAGGTTGTTGACCCGTGGGTTGATCAGGTTTGACCCGGACTAGGAGGAGAAAACGGTCGATATACACCCATTAAAGTGATAGCCGAAATGGTTAAACCCGCTTCAAACCGGTCAAAACTCGGAGGACCTCGGCGGTTGGGACTTCACTGGCGTCGTTTGTGTTTTCCATTCCTGGTGCCCGATGTGTTAGGAGCATCTTTGAAGGAAATCTTCACAGATCCGCACTTGAGCAAGCTGGAGAATAACCTAGAGGACTCCGAGAGTTGTGGCCGATGCAAGGAGGCAAAGGGGCTTAGGACCAGGGTGAAGTGAAACGCTGTGATTTTTCTCGCCATTGTGGGAGTCGCTAGAGGGCTTCAGACGAAGTAGGTCGCGACAAGGAGATCGTCGATCGAATTTGGGATGCAGTTTTGGTTCTTTGGGGGGATGTGAGTGAATGGAAGATGAGGGAGTAGGTAGAGATTTTACGACGGAGGAAGGTAAAGGGATTTTTTGGGCTTCACCTGGTCAAACTGGGTTGACAACCTTGATTGGTAGTGAATACCTCTGATCCCTTACCTGATCTCGCTATGTTTTCCCTCAAATCAACTATGAACGGGGACAAAGAATCGAGCTTAATCGACGAAAGCGCTAATTCGAGCTGCCACTATCAAAGAGTGGGTTTCAATCCACCAAAAACTTAAGTGAGTCGGCTGATTTTCTCTGGCAAGGGTAGGACATCTCAGAGTTGTAGCTGGATGTGCACTCGAAGAAGCCCCGTTCCTAGATTAAAATCTCGGAGTCGCACACTAAGACGGCGATCGAAGAGGTGGAAGAGGTGGTTGCTGGTTGGTTAGATCGTTGGGATTTCAGATTTGGGGACTGGGATTTCAGACTTAGGAACTAGATTTCAAGGTGAGGTTGCGGCGGGTCTGTGGTGAGGGTTGCGACGGAAACTAGGTATCACTGGATTAGTGGGAAGAGGAGTAAAAAAGAAAAGAAAAAAGTATTTTTGGAATATCGTTTTTAAAAGAAATTATTGTAAAAAATCCACATCATTAACAGCCAACTTTGTTAAAGTTAATGGAGACGGAGTTCGTGCTAGAATTGTCATTTTGAATACTTGAGATAAGAATTGATTGGTATTAACCCTAAAATGTATTAGGGACATGGGAAGTATCCAACACCAACGAACTATTCATCCTTGTTGGAGCATTATCAGTAAAGTGCCTTCTCCGGTCACCTTCAGCTGGGGAAGAATCCATGGTGCTAGAAGTCATTGCCGAGGATGAAAAACTGGAAGATCCTTCCACGGATGGTGCGGAAACATAAGTAGCCACAGGTCTACGCAGTGGAAGCACCGGCAGAGGAGCCTCCGAGTTGAGGACTTGAAGTGCCTGCCTAATGGAAGGCCTGAAATCCGCATTTGGGTGAGTCCAGCTCAGTCCAATCAAAACTCGAGATGAATAACATCTCGGACGAGGTTGATTGGAGACGACTGACTCTCTCTGAACAACCTGATGATGGAGACGATTGACTGCGTCTCTTGAACTTGAACACACCTGGTACATCGCGGTCGACCTGATGACTGAGTTAGTCGACCGACGTATGTTGACCTCCTATTCTCCCCCTCAAGCTGGAGCATGAACAACGTGAATGCCCAGCTTGAAAAGCGATGAATGGTTGATATGTGCCCACTAATGAACCGAAAGAGGGGACGACCATTTCTTGGATCGTGAATGCCAGCTGAACGATGAAGGGACGATTACTTCTTTGATCGTACTACCTTTTGAATGCCAGGGGACGACCATCTAATGGATCGTGAATGCCTCGATCGATGCTTGTCTATCTTTGCTAGCAAAAGCCTGCAAACAAAATAATTGACCCAAAATCTAATTGAAGAGCCATAAAACTCTTATTAAATCAGATATGGGAGCCCTTAAGGGCCATTTTCGGCTATGCTTTCCGCCGGCCCAATAATAATTGGGGAAACCCTAAAATGGGTTAGCACTTAGCAATGCAGCGCCGCCACTCCTTTGTACAACGACGGAGCTTGAGATGGCGGAACGGCGGGAGACGAGAGGCAAAAGACGAGGAAGCATATCGATTGCGGATGAAACGAGACTGGTGATGGCGGGGGCTCGGATTTGAGCAGTCTCGCCTAAAGCCAACAATGATGATTAAGACGAACAAAATGGCGAATCGATCTCAACGAAGCCTCCTGGCCTCTCTCTCCAACGCGAGCAATGTGAGGATGTCGATTTCCTCTCACTGGACCCTTGACCTTTCTCTTGATGAATTGGTTGGGGCGTCCATAAACTTGACTCTTGGAAGCAAAATGCAGCAGCTTGCTACTAAAAACTCCTTGACTTAATGAAATTGACCTCGTTGCATGTCCATATTGAATTGACATCCGAGAGAGACAATGGAACCGCACAATGGGAATCCAAAACAAATTGAGCAATATGACGGAACCAATTTGAGGATACAGATCCCGACCGAACCAACTGCAAGTTAGCTGCCAACGTTGACAAGATGATGCAGACAAAAAACCTGGGTACGAAATTCGCCGCTACCTCCTGCTTCTTGACTGCAACTGATGATGGAACGCAGAGGCTGATTGTGATGGCTACGACCGGATCTAGTGACATGGAGACTGACGGCGATGACGACGATAGCATGGGACTCATGCCGGCGGACCTGGAGACAGAAGCTTCACCGGGAAGGGTTTGCTTCTGTTTGTTGCGGATCATGGAATTGATGAAGACGACAAACGACGGCGGAAGCTCAAAATCCTAATTAAGGATCGAGTTTCGCTCTGATACCATGTAGAATTTGATGATGCGGAATTGAAACGAACACACAAGACAAAGGATTTTACGTGGTATCCTCGATCGATTGATTGATCGAGACTAATCCACGGTGAGCTCATAAGAGCTCACGACTGATCTCTTATTAGGATTACATCTTGACGGCTTGCTATCACACAAGTCGATAGCTAAGCTTATATAGATAAACTTAGGGTTAAAACCCTAATCCAAAGAATCAGACGAGGCCCAACTAGGCCCAATACTAACACGGTTTAAGTAACCGCAACAATGTACCAGGTGTGTTCAAGTTCAAGAGACGCAGTCAATCGTCTCCATCATCAGGTTGTTCAGAGAGAGTCAGTCGTCTCCAATCAACCTCGTCCGAGATGTTATTCATCTCGAGTTTTGTGGTTCAAGCCATCATGCTTGTTCTTCACATTTACTTCTTCAAGCTCGACATTCTTGTCATTCATGTCTTCGCTTGAGGGGGAGTGTTGCGGTTACTTAAACCGTGTTAGTATTGGGCCTAGTTGGGCCTCGTCTGATTCTTTGGATTAGGGTTTTAACCCTAAGTTTATCTATATAAGCTTAGCTATCGACTTGTGTGATAGCAAGCCGTCAAGATGTAATCCTAATAAGAGATCAGTCGTGAGCTCTTATGAGCTCACCGTGGATTAGTCTCGATCAATCAATCGATCGAGGATACCACGTAAAATCCTTTGTCTTGTGTGTTCGTTTCAATTCCGCATCATCAAATTCTACAAAATCGCCATTCAGCCTGGAATCAGGACCCTCCATCAACAACCTCCCATCTCCGTAGAGGTCCTAGACCCAATGAGCCAAATGCACCGCATATGGCTCTTCTTCCGGATTCAACACCACAGCAGGCTTTCTCCCCGTGGCGATTTCCAGAACCACGACCCCGAAGCTGTAAACGTCCGACTCTCGGCTCGCCTTACCGGTCACTGCACATTCAGGAGCCATGTAGCCCATGGTCCCGGCCATCATCGTCATTTGTGAGCCCTTGGCGTGTTCCACCAGCCTTGCCAACCCAAAATCCCCTAGTTTGGCGCTGAAATCAGAATCCAACATAATGTTGCTCGACTTGATGTCTCTGTGAACGACACATTGCTCCCACTCCTCGTGCAAGTAGAGAAGCCCAGAGGCCAGGCCTTTTGCGATTTTGTACCTCGTTTCCCATGTCACCAACGAGTTGATGTTGTCATTCTTGCTGAACAGATGGGTATCCAGACTGCCATTAGGCAGAAACTCGTAAACCAAGAGCAGCTCCCTTTTCTCGTAACACCATCCAATGAGTTGAATCAAGTTCCTGTGCCTCAGCCGGCTGATGATCTTCACCTCTGCTGCAAATTCCTTGATACCCTGTTTCGATTTCTTCGAAACTCTCTTCACCGCGACGTACTCGTTCTTGTCCTTGATAAACCCTCTGTAAACCCCTCCAAACCCTCCCTCCCCAAGCTTGTTATCCAAATCGCTGAATTTGTTCGTGGCTATTGCCAATTCCTTGAAAGTGAACTTCCTTGGCCCTGCCCTTTTCCCCAAGATCTCATCCATCAGCCGCCCATCAAGTTCTTGCTGCTCTGCATCCTCTCTCAATCGATGCAGTCTTTTGTTGTACACAATTCTCCCAATCAAGGACAACAAACTGATCAGAAAACCCCCACCAACTGCCAAACCCACTACAACCCTCGAACCAACTCTGTTTTTGCCCTTCCTAATGATAGGAACAAAATTAGTCGGAGTAACGAATCGTTCCAAGGTGGAAGCAAAATCCCAGGAGTGAATCCTGTGAACGGCGACTAACCGACCGGTGGAAGCGGAAAACCCAAAAGTGGCCTCTTCGGGAAGGTAATCCCTCAAATCGACAATGCAGCTGACCCGCTGAATCGTCGAAACGTTCCCCGCGTACCCAGTTACTACAACGCTCAAGTTACGGAGGGTGGAATTGTAAGAAATCCAAGCATGGCTCTCCTTCCCACCCGTTATATCGCCTGCCCAAGGTGCGGTCGTCACGGATTCCATCGAATTGATGTCGATCCCAACGTGGGTCCCAACCGGATCGAAGTAGTTGCCGAAGATGTCGAACTCGACGGTGTCAGATTTCTGATTAATGCTTCTTGCTTTGATTGAGAGAATGAAAAAATGTACATCATCCAGCTAGAGTTGCTGGTTTTATACTCTGTTCTCCTGATAAGTAGGAAACAGTTGAGCCTATCAACTAACCTAATCATATTACATTATAGTACCTATCCTAATTACAATCTATCTATATAAACTTTTCCTTATTACAATTTGGTACATTGTATCTCTAATACCCCCCCTCAAGCTAAACGTGAATAGATTTCAGGTTAAGCTTGGCAACAAGGTCTACAAAGGTGTGAACTGGCAGAGCTTTGGTAAATGGATCTGCAAGCTGGAGGGTAGTAGAAATGTGCTGCACTTTCAGTTTATTAGCTAGTACTTGGTCTCTAGTGAAGTGGCAATCCACTTCTATGTGTTTGGTACGTTCATGCTGAACTGGATGCTGTGTCATTTTGACTGCAGAGAGGCTGTCGCAGTAGATTGTGTAAGGCTGCTGAGGTTGCACTGGGAGTTGTTTGAACAAAGCTGTCATCCACTGGAGTTCTTGAGATGTATCTGCTAAGGCTCGGTATTCCGCTTCAGCTGATGATCTGGAGATTGTATGCTGCTTCTTAGATCGCCAACTGATGAGAGAATTACCTAAAAAAACACAAAAACCTGTCACTGATCGTCGAGTATCAGGGCATCCAGCCCAATCTGAATCTGAGAAGGCAGTGAGACGAAGAGAAGAGTTGGATGGGAAAAAGAGGCCACGAGCAGGAGTAGTTTTCAAATAGCGTAGCAATCGATGAGTTGCCTGCTCATGGACTGTGGTGGGTGAATCAACAAATTGGCTTAACTGATTTACAGTATAGCATATGTCTGGTCTGGTAGTGCAGAGATATTGAAAACGACCAAGTAGAGTCCTGTAACTACTGTGTTCTGTGTCATTAAGAGGTGTGCCATCATGAGCAGATAAATGTGTAGCAGGAATTGATGGTGTAGTAGCTGGTTTAGATGCTAGAAATCCTGTATCAGACAATAAATCAAGAGTGTATTTTCTTTGACATAAGTGAATGCCACTGTCAGACCTGGAAACCTCCATTCCAAGGAAATATTTGAGAGGGCCAAGATCTTTTATTGTAAATGCCAAATCTAACTGATGCTTTACATGTTTAATTTCTTCCATGTTGTTGCCAGTTAGTATAATATCATCTACATATACAAGTAGGGCAGTAAAGGATTGATTATGCTGCTTAGTGAACAAGGAGTAATCACAGTGTGATTTTTGATATCCTAGACTTTCCAAAGTAGCAGCAAGCTTAGCAAACCATTGACGACTAGCTTGTTTCAGTCCATAGAGGGATTTAGTCAATTTGCAGACTTTGTTTTTGTCATTTGGATGAATGGGAAGTCCTGGTGGCAATTTCATGTAAACCTCTTCATTGAGGTCACCATGAAGGAATGCTGTATTGACATCTAACTGTTCTAGATGCCATTTGTACATAGCTGCTAAAGCTAAAATGATCCTTACTGTTGTCATTTTAACCACAGGAGAGAATGTATCCATGTAATCAACTCCAGGTGTCTGTGTATAGCCTTTAGCTACTAACCTAGCTTTGTACTTATCAATGGTACCATCTTGTTTAAACTTTAATCGAAAGACCCATTTGTTCCCAATAATAGGAACATTGGGAGGAGGATCTACAAGGACCCAAGTTTTGGTTTTTTCAAGTGAAGCAAACTCAGAATTCACTGCCTGTAACCATTCATGTGATTTGGCAGCTTCTTTATATGTTCTAGGTTCCCTGACCTGTGTAATGGCTAAGGCAAACTTCTTGTGAGAAGTACTAAGAGAATTGTAGGAAAGCATTGCTTGAATTGGGTATCTAGTTTTGGAAAATAATGTTGCCTGACTTGTTAGATTACATTTGTAATCTTTAAATTTAGCAGGCTTGATTATTTGCCTAGTTGATCTCCTTAATTGAGAAACATCAGTAGCAGGAGCAGTAAGAAGTGGTTCTGCTAATGGTACTGTTGAAGTTAACTCAGGAAGGGGATCTGAAATGGGAGCTGATGATGGAATGGCTAAGTTGTGTAACTCAGAAGGGAACTCAGTGTGAGCTTTTGCAAAGTCTAAGTCTGGAAATACTGGTGGGAAAACAGGTAGAGGAAGTGCACTATCTGAGTGTTGACTTTGCTGTTCGAAGGGAAAAATGGTTTCATGGAAGGAAACATCTCTAGAAATGAGAATGCTGTGAGTTGTTAGATTGTATAATCTAAAACCTTTTGTTCCATGGGGATGTCCTAGGAAAACACATGTCTGTGCTCTAGGATCAAGTTTGTTTCTAGTTGCTTGGATTGTTGCTGCATATGTAAGGCATCCAAAAACTCTAAGATGAGAAAGACTTGGTGGTACACCATGTAACTTTTCATAGGGAGTAGAGTTCTGAAGAAGATTTGATGGAGTTCTGTTAATGAGATGGACTGCATGCATTGCAGCAAAATTCCAGAATTTAGAAGGGAGAGAAGCTTGAAAAAGTAAAGCACGTGTTACAGCTAGAATATGCTGGTGCTTTCGCTCGACTATACCATTCTGTTGAGAGGTATAAACACAGGTGGTTTGATGTATAACACCTTTAGAGTTGTAAAAAGCAGGAATATGGAATTCAAGACCATTATCTGTACGAATGGTTTTGATAGTGGCTTTAAACTGAGTTTCAATAAAAGCAAAGAAGTTGATGATAATAGGACGAGCCTCTGATTTATGTTTCATAGTGAAGATCCATGTATGACGAGTAAAGTCATCTACAATGGTGAGAAAGTAAGCATGTCCTTGAAAAGACAGAACAGGGGCATTACCCCATATATCAACATGGATAAGGTCAAAGGGAGCTACTGATTTACTTATACTGGTAGGAAAAGGTAGTCGCTTCTGTTTGGCCAGAGGACAAACAGTACAATGGAAATCAGAATGTGCAGAGATACTACTATCAATGTTTTGAAACTGTGAAATTTTACAAGCTGGAATATGACCAAGGCGATAATGCCAGATATCTATGCTTGGTTTAGAGGAAGAATAGGCTAGTCTGGAAGAAAAAGCTGATTTAGTGTTGATCTGAAGATTGTGTTGAAGCTGTTTGGTCTGAGAAGGAGGGTGGAGTAGGTAAAGACCATCGATCAAACTAGCTGTTCCAATCATTGTCAAACTGGGGTAAGCCTGTATGAAGCATAAGGAGTAGTGAAACCATAAGCAAATGGTTGTGCTTCTAACAAGTTTACTTACTGAAACCAGATTGAAACTAAAAGAAGGAACAAGCAGAACATCAGTCAATATAAGATGCTCTGAGTATTGAACAACACCTATGGCAGTGACAGCTACTTTGCTACTATTAGGCATATGAACAAAGACATTGGCAACTGGTTTAGAGTGCAAAAAATGAGCAGAAGAGCAAATAATATGATCAGTTGCACCTGTATCTAAAATCCATTTGTTCTGAAGGTGACAATTAACATTAAGTGCATAATGAATTGTACCTGTAGAGTCAGGATTACCAAAAGCATGGGAAGCAACAGAATTAGCCCTGCTGATGATGTTATGCTGGCCAGAACCATCACTATCATTCGAAGCAGAATAATGAGAAGGGTTGTTGGCAGTGTAAGCATCAGAAAAAGCAGCTGGAACTGGAGGATAATGCTGCTGAGCAGAGAACTGATTCTGAGGAGGAGCTTGATTAATCTGCTGGTTGTTTTGCTGCAGTTGTGGAGCCATAAAACTCAACATCTTCTGATACTGCTGCTGAAAACTTTGCCAGTCAGATTGATTGATGACAATGGATCCATTAGAAGAAGCCATATCAGTAGAGACACTGTTTGCCTGCCTAGAGTTCTGTGGCCTTTTCTTGGACTGATAACCTGGCGGATAGCCATTCTTCTTATAGCAGACATCTTCAGTGTGTCCAGTGTAACCACAGAATGTGCAAACAGGTTTCTTTCCTTGTTTCTTGAACCCCTGACCAGCCCCCTGAACACCTAAGTGAGACCCTGATGCCTTGGTAAAGAATGCCATACTCTCTGAGGCAGAATCAGGATTAGGATGAGGCTGAGGTTTGGGCAACAAACCATTCTCCCTTTCGTGTTGAACCATCATGGCGAACACCTTGTTAATTGGAGGTAAGGGTTCTAAGAGCATAACAGTGGATCGAGGTCCATTGAAACTATCATTCAGATTGCGCAAGAATCTAATCACCTTATCATTCATATAGTCTTTTCTTAAAGAAGCTAGAACGCAATGACAGGTAGTGCCACAATCACAATCTGGAATGAAACGATAGTTTGCCAGCTGATCCCACAATGCTCGTTGCTTAGAATAGTACTGGGAGACGCTCATTGTACCTTGTTTGAGGTTGAAGATGGCTTCCTGAAGATCAGCGATGCGAAAAGAATCTCCTTGCGAGAATTGCTCACGCAGCTCAGTCCACGCACCAATGGCGGTGGTGACATACAGGATACTCTCCGCGATAGTTGGATTAACAGATCGCTGAATCCAGCTGAGCAGCAGCTTGTTGTTGCGATTCCAAGGCTCGAGCAGTGGAGAATCATCATCAGGCTGCGGGATTTTGCCATTGAGGAACCCTAATTTGTTCTTGCCATCGATTACCAGAATCATCGACCTCTCCCAGCTAGAGAAGTTGTTCTCGGTAAGCGGCTGAGAGACGAGGCATTGACCCCAATTCTCCGATGGATGAATGAAGAATGGAGAGGCGGGATCAGAGATCGGAACGCCCTTGTACAAGATCACACCAGAATTGCTCTGGCGACCTCCAGTGTGAGGATTTGCGGCTTCGTCGCCGGAAGAGAAAGAATCGTGAATCGCCATTGTTGGACAAATTCAAGAACAGAAGAGAATGCGGAAGCGAGAGAGGGAGACGCAGAAAAAACGCTCAGAGGAGCTCTGATACCATGTCAGATTTCTGATTAATGCTTCTTGCTTTGATTGAGAGAATGAAAAAACGTACATCATCCAGCTAGAGTTGCTGGTTTTATACTCTGTTCTCCTGATAAGTAGGAAACAGTTGAGCCTATCAACTAACCTAATCATATTACATTATAGTACCTATCCTAATTACAATCTATCTATATAAACTTTTCCTTATTACAATTTGGTACATTGTATCTCTAATAGACGGCGACGAAACGGTTCTCGGTGGCGTTCAATTGCTGGAGTGAGACCCAAGGTGCTGCCGTTGGTTAGGCGAGGTGGGAGTGTGGCGCCCTTGGGGGCGAGGAAGAAGGCGAGGCCGTCCCCTTAGCCGCTCTGGGATTGGGAGACGATGCTGAAAGTGAAATGGGTTTGGAAGTCGGTTAGGGTTTTGGAATCTGGGTCCCAGAGGGGTAAGGGGGAGCTGTAAGTTGCGCGGCCGTAGCTGATGTTGAGGTCCGAGCCCAGGAGGAGGTTTCGAGTGAGCTGGATGGAGTTGTTGGCGGCGAAGGCTTGTTCGTAGGTGATGTTTTGGTTGTCGTCGGTGAAGCTTGTGAAGTTGAAAGACAAGGCTGTGATGGATAAGGGGCAGATGATGAAGATCAGCGGTACAAGACCGGAAACCATGTCGTCGTCGGCGGCCTGGGGGAGGTTATAAGGAAATGATCACTCGCATAACAGAGTCTGCTTCAAAGTTCAAACACCAAAAGCCACTGATCAATGAAATACAAGCATAAATATTTCTCCATTTCCGTTCTATTGAATCTTGTACATTGACAGAAGTTGATTGGCTGACTAGTCTGACGTCCGTTTGCGTGTCGCTGGGGGTGGAGTAGCTAGGTGGTGAATTAGTCTGCTGCTGTTTTCCTGGTTACCGTGTTTACGGAGGAAGGTTGTCAACCCGGTTTAGTCCGTTGGCCTAGTCGAACCAGTGGGTTGAGGGTTAATGGGTTGATTGCTTTAGTCCGTTTTATCCTGGATATATGAAAATAGTCATCATATTGTTCATACATTTATAATTTATATAAAATTTTATCAAACATAAGAATAATAACATATAACATTACACCAAAATAATTTGTCGTGTTTGGATCCAACTTACCTATCCAAACCCGAGCAACCCATGCTAGATGATCAACCCATAGATACGCAACTGAAGGGGAGAAACATCTACGAAGTAAAGGAGACATCAGCCGATGGTTTGTGGTCATGGTGGAAGTTACTTAAGCTAAGGTATTGGTTCGGTTGCTTCAGGTTTGTTGTCTAACGCCAGGAGGTAAATACTATGAGAATTGTAAACTGCTGATTCGTTTATCTGTTAACCTTGTTTGGGAGTCTATTACAGAATCACATAGTTACCAATAACTCAATCTGTTGGAGAATGTTTACTAATATATCTTATATGACAAATAACATACCCACTCAAACACAAACCAGTAACCCAATGAGTTTGAAGTTTGCACAATCAAAAGGAGTGTAAATACACCGAGTCTCTAACAAGGCGATTGATTGTGATGAAAACACATCCACCAACATGAGCGGTAGGAATCTGAAGGAGTCTGAAACAAAGTTGACGGTTGAAGGGAGGAGTGAAGGAAAACCATATAGAAACAAAGCCATATACTTTTTTGAACCAATACCCTGGTCCCATATAGGTAAATACATTTGTGCCCATGATACATGTGGAAATATTGCAACTAGCTGCAACACTTTAGCTAGGTCAGTTGTGCACAGATCTCTCCTTAACGTGTTTGTTTTGTTTTATGCTCTCCCACTAAGTAGAGGGACAGACACACACGCAGAAAAAGCCTCCAACCAGAACACCCATTCATCCCCCACTAAATAAATAGTCCACCTGCTGCCTGCTACTATACACGAACACGACTCTACCTAGCCTACCTCCCTGCAGCAATCAATCACCACTTTAGCAGAACAAGACAAGTACGTCCTTCCAAAAACACACCCACTGCTTTTTTCTCCTCCTCTCTTCTCCCTTCTTTTAATTATTTTACTCCCATAATGAACTGTCCATCATGTGCCCTTCCCCTCCACAACTCTCTCATCCCACCTCATTCTCTCTCTCTCTCTCCCTCTCTTGGAACTACAAATGTTCATCACACTTTCAGCAATATTCCATACTTATGGGTATATATATCATGATAACTTTGGTGGGTTGTTGGCATAGCTAGGTCGTCAAACTTTCATCATCTGCTCATCATCACAAACCCAAAAAAGGAGCAAGCTTGGAGCAGATGATGGCTGGATCAAAAAAGGAAAAAAGGGTTTCTGGAATGAAGTTTGATCCAAGATCCATCGTTGTTACTTCGGTTTGATGATCGTCAGATCTCGGACCAGGCTTCATTCCTCACACCTACTTTTTCCCTCCCCCGTCGTCAGTTGGAGCTATACCTAGCTAGCTTCCATGCCTGCGGCATCAATTTATCAGTGTAAGGAAATTTATCAGTTAGCTCAAAGTCCTTTCTTTTCTCGATTCATTAATCACCAAAGTCTTTTAGCTAGTGCTCAGTATTATGCATTTAGTTATTGAGTCAGTTTCCTTATCAGTTAGGGTTTACTATTCGATCTATTGTAGTAGCTATGGGGTTTTAATTTCCTTTTGCATAGTGGTTTTATCCGTAAGATAGAGAGATTCCCAAGACAAACACGAAAAGACATGCGAGTATAAGCTTTTATTTTTTGCAGCCACATGCGAAGAAGAAGGGTATGTTTCTATATTCAATTACCAAAAAAAAAAAAACATGTTATGTTTCCTGGTCCTAGAGTCTAAGAGTATATGTTTCATGACTGAGTATCGGTTTAGAGTTTAATGTGCTGATGTGGCACACCAGATTGCTGCTGTATACTGCATGTAAGCAATAGTTGTATTTAGTAATTACATGTCAAGCTTACAAACCTTTCCAAAATGAAAGTATACATGTCCCGTTCCCGTAGATATCCCACCATTTGCATAAAACTACATTTTCACGCAACCCTATTAATTATTCACGTATATTTGCGCTTTTTTTTTTGCGTATTCTCTTAAAATATCATCTATCAATCAATTAATTTTTACATGTTCTTTTATACATTGCGTGAAAATATAGGTAATATCTGTGAATATAAGTGAATTTGCGTGAATAATTGATGGCCTTGAATGAAAATATACTATGACTTAGATAATTAAATGCAACTATAAATAGGTTAGCAGATTTGAAACATCCACTCATCATATTATTTACTTAACACCAATATTAGGTTAATTGGACTATAATAGTATGAAGAATTATCATTAAAAAAAGTGTACTCACTAATAAGAAACCGATATGTGGCTGGTTGGAGTTTCTGCGTCTAACCGAATTTGAAGCTAAAATTTTTCCCAACAGCTAGGATGTGGATTTTCCTAGTTTTCAGTATTTCTATACATTCTTCTATTGGTTTACCTGGATGAATATTTCATGATGTTGTTTTGGTGTAATTAAGTGATACCTATTATATGGTTAATAAATAGGGAGTAGGGAATAGGGGAGGGGAGGACACAATCATGGAGAAAAGTAGAGCAATTATTTTGCACTAAATCCAAGGCAAAGTCAACTTCAGTTCCATCAACCAAATCACGACAAAGTCAGTTTTGATAAAGAGGGGAAAACCAAATCAGGACCAAAGAACAGAATAAAGGCAGATCTTCTTTGCAAAAAACATCTTTGGGGTTTCCCTCTTCCCAGCTCAGTGCAGCTGCCCTGTAATGTTGATGAGGGGCCTCAAGTATGCTTTGGATTGCATTCCATATATCTGTAGTTGTTGGATTGATGCCATAATGTTATACACCAAAATGTGTTCATATTTCATACCATGAATAAGAACGCATAAGAGAACAATTTGATTATGCTAGTATGAATTGGTCATTCTTAGAGATGACAACAAGTTTAGGGGAGAATTTTTTTCCCTCTATACCATCCCCAAATCATCACAGTTTTAAAATAATTATAATCTCCTAAACAAAATGTAAATAGGATTCAATATGATATATTAAAATTCTCAAACCATCACAGTTTTTAAAATGTTATAATCTCCGAAATCAAATGTGAGTGAAATGTAATATGACATATTAAAATCTACCTGCAACTAGGGGTGGCAATTCGGTTGTCGGTTAGCGGCTAACCGAAAACCGACGAAATATAACCTTGGTTGGTGGTCGGCAAGGAAGGGTGACTGTTCGGCTAGCCGAGTAACCGGTGGCAATTAACCGCGGCTAACCGAGCTAACCGAACTCCACCCAATCATTGCCAAACAACACCGTTCTAGCCCAGTTTACACAATCCCCCCAAAAAAATCGAAACCTAATAGCTAACCCTAATATCACTTCTATGCCTCTCCTCCACCCTCCAAAACCATCACTTCCCTTTGACTCTGCCTCTCCTCCACTCTCCAAAATCATTCGTTCCGCCGCCGTCTCCCGTCCCCCGACCCGGCCACTCCGCCCTTCCTCTCCTCCACTCGACCCCACAACCACAGATCTCCAGTCCGCCGATCCTTTGCTCTGTCGTTCGCCCCCTTCCTCTTCCTTTCCTTGCCGCACCCCCTAGAACAAAAACCCAGAAACTAAAAAAACCCAGGTGGCTATGTAGGAGGGAAGAAGTCAGATCTCTTCGATATGGTATGGAGATGCAGCCATGCAGGGACCGCGACGAAGAAGGTGGGGATCTGGATTTTGGATCTACGGATTGGTGGGTGCGGCGGGAGGATTAGTGACAAGTGGAGGGAAGATAGGTCGGAGGAGATGAAGAGTCGTCGCCGTCCTTCCTCTTCGCGAGTCGCCGTCCTTCCTCCTTCTCTGACTTTTTGTTTGCGGCGGCGGGATTGGTGGTTGGCTGGGTGCGATACTGCGACGGGAGGAGAGTGAAGAGATGAGGAGATGAGGACTGAGGAGAGATGACGGGAGGAGAGTGGAGAGATGAGGAGAGATGAAGAGTCTCATTGTCTCTATCTATCTCCATTTCTTTTTTGGTTTTTAGCTTTTAAAGTTTTTCATGTAATTAAATAATAAATTAATGATTATAAATAATATTTTTTTGGATAGTCAATTAATCGCGGTTTAACCGTTAACCGATCGGTCGGTTTGCGGCAAACCGAAACATGCTACGCGGTCGGTGGCCGGTGACTGTCAGGGTGGTCTCGGTTTAACCGATAACCGAGAAATTAGTTTTCGATTAAACCGAAACCGACCGAATGATAGCCCTACCTGTAACCAGAACAAAAAAAAACCTTCTTGCACTATCCCAAACAACATCTTAAGATTTCTAACATTTTTAGAATTTTTTTAATTAAGATTTTGATGTTAAATTGAAACTTCTTAAAGTTCATGTGCTGGAGAAGTGAGCGAGAGATAATGACCAACATTGGGGCCTCGGACATAAATATACTAAATATAATTAAAGATATAAGAGTGGTACTGTTGCACACGAGTTGTGCTAACGTGTGCGGTGGGTTATTTTTGCTTGGGTCACAGACGTTGATTTGCAGGCTTTCTAGGTTGGTTTTGTTAATTATGCTTTTATTTATGTGTTTTTTTTTTTCTTTCACCGATTGTTTATCCTGTCTAGGTAGCTAGACAGATATGGCGAATCTCC